AAGTGATTCCATTTTATTCACAAACTATTTGATCTGCTTCCTTTGCCTTTTGTTTATATCAGACACACACAGCATTAGTACCAATACCATCTTCCTTCCTACCCATGATCACATTTTACTAATAACTTGGCCTTATCCATGATAAGGAAGTTTCTCTTATACTTGTCTGATGTACCCCCCTACATGGCTTCAACTCACAAATAATGATACACAACAAGGAAAGCCAGTGAAACCGCTTGATTAATTAGGTATGATGCACTTGCACTTAAGGGAAACACACACACACAGTTGGCACATGTGACCTTATTGTAGGGCTGGATGCCTCAAAAAATGTAAAAAAAAAACATTGGTTTGCACAATTTGTAGTAGTGTACAATACAAGGTCACTAAAACCTTTAAATATATATGCATTATTTACGGGGGATCCATTATAGTGAGATCCATACTTAAGAGGGTGCACCAATATATATATATACACATACAGTATATACAGACAACCACATGCTTTCCAACACACCTCTTAATTGGATATACCTGTTATCCGTTTTAGGTTTGTGTGAATAAAGATGTGCATTAAAGTGGAGTGTGGAATGGTACAAGTACTTAAACATCTGAGGGTATGTCATCAGGCTAGACAGAATGTAGACAAACTCAGGTTATAATTGCTGTCAGGCTAGACAAACTAGAAGCTTCAGGCTAGACAGGTGGTCTGGCTAGACAGGCTAGCAAGCTGTCAGGCTAAATAGACTGTCAGGATGGGCAGACTGTCAAGCTAGACAGGCAATCAGGCTAGATAAACTGTCAGGTAAGACAGGTTGTCAGGCAAGACAGGCTGTCAGGCAAGACAGGCTGTGATGCTAGACAAACTGTCAGGTTAGACATGCCAGACAGGCTGACAGGATGGACAGGCTGCACACTCGAACTGAAGAGATGATAATCGCATGTCTCCTTCCTGTTCAACGCTGTCACTTTTCCCTTCTCCAACTTACCCCATATGAGAGTTAACACCTGCGGCAGAATGATGTAACATCACATGCCATAAATTGTGTCAAAACACATTTTATTTTATTTTAAATATTTACATGCAGTTCAAAATACAAAACATGTTCTGTTATTTACAACTGGTGACAAGAAAGCAACTCCAGCACCAACTCTCTGACCCTCCTACCATTACCCAACCCTCCCTGACCCCTTCCCCCGCTAGGGTCAGTGTGAGCCTATGGACCCATATCATTCATGTCCATCTCTGTAGTTCACAGAGGATGTACTTACCTAGTTGTGCTTGCAGGGGTTGAGCTCTGGCTCTAAGACCTGCCACTCTCCCAGCAACACTACTCACTTCCTACCTTTTAAATACGTGGATGGAGAAATACTAAAGAAATTGTTCATGATTTGTGTTAGACCAAAGCTGGAATATGCAGCAATTGTATGGTGCCCGTATCTGAAGCAGCATAACAACAAACTGGAAAAGGTGCAAAGACATGCCACTAAGTGGCTCCCAGAACTGAAGGACAAGAGCTACGAGGAGAGGTTAGAGGCATTAAAAATGCCAAACTATATGATAGAAGAAAAAGAGGCGATATGATCACTACGTACAAAATAGTAACAGGAATCTATAAAATTGATAGGGAAGAATTCCTGAGACTTGGTACTTCAAGAATAAGAGGTCATAAATTTAAACTAAGTAAACAAAGCTGCCAAAGGAATATAAGAAAATTAACTTTTGCAAAAAGAGTGGTAGATGGTTGGAACAAGTTAGGTGAGATGGTGGTGGTCAAAATTGTTAGTAATTTTAAAGCGTTATATGACAAAGAGTACTGGGAAGATGGGACACCACGAGCGTAGCTCTCGTCCTGTAACTACACTTAGGTAATTACAAACGTACACAAACCCTGACACCTGACATACGACAAAGAGTACTGGGAAGACGAGACACCGCAAGTGTAGCTCTTATCCTGTAACTACACTTAGGTAATTACCCATACATGCCAACACCCACAAACCAATACCCACATCCATATGCCAATATTGACACTCGCATACCAGTACCCACATCCAAATGCCAATACCGACACTCGCATGCCAATACCCTCGCTCGCATGCCAATATCCACATCCACATGCCAGTACCCACATTCACATGCCAGTACCCACACTCGCATACCAATACCCACATTCCCGTCTCGATACCCCACACTCGCATGCCAATACCCGCACTCTCATGCCAGAACCCACATCCACGTGCCAATACCCACACTTGCATACCAGTACCCACACCCACATGCCTATATGCCAATACCCATACCCATAAATCAATACCCACACAAAGACAAACTGTTTAGCATGGACAGAACATGCACAAGGGGACAAAGGTAGAAACTGTGTACCCAAATGAGTCACAGGGATGTTAGAAAGAACCTTTTCACTGTCATAGGAGTTAACAAATTGAATGCATTAGATACAAAGTAGATTCCATACATACTGTAGTTTCAAATGTAGATATGAAAGAGCCCATTAGGCTCAGAAACCTGTACACCAGTTGATTGACAGTTGAGAGGCGGGGTCAAAGAGCCAAAGCTCAACCCCCACAAGCACAACTAGGCGAGTACACACAGTTCATATTGCATACGTAATCTAGCTGCATTTTAATCTCTCTAGCTCTTTATTTTGTATTAACACTTATCTATTTCCACTTATGTCAGTAATAAGCTCGGGATATATATATTTGCTCAATAATATTAGATATCAGTTTAGTTTCATTTTTAATTTATATTACTGTACTTTATTTTGATAATTTTAATTTTTACTGTAATTGTGCCTAGATTTAGTATTTTACTGCAATTACTTTTTATGTACTGTAATTAAAACAAACATGGCTAGACCATACCCAACTATACAACTTAGCTGGATATAAAGCCATTCACAACTGCAGGCCAGATAAAAAAAAGGGATGTACAGCTATCTATTATCAAGATATCTTCACTTGCACAAGTGTCATTAGTGATAGAGACAACTATTGTGAATACACCTTTTCTCAAGTCTCGATTAAATCTCTTAAATCCTCTATTTAAGTGATTTAAATAGAGCTATTTCAAAATTTTAATTTAAGAGCTGTTTATAGATTTCCCAATACTGTACTAATACAACTGCATTCTCAGATAATCTGAGGAATCTAGTCATAAACAACAAACTCAACAAAAATCACAGCATCTTAGGAGGTGACTTCAACATTGACCTTTACAACAAAATAGCCACCAAGTTAACTACAGTACTTCCTTAATAGCATGAACTCTCTGTATGCCAATCACCACGATCACCAAGCCCACCTGAATCACTCAAACATCCGCCATTACCTTGGATCACACATGGACTAACAGAACAGTTTCCCTTGCCACTGGAATAATCACTGACAAAACAACTGATCACTATCCTACCTTCCTTGTAGCAAGCATGGACATAACACTACCGGATACCAAGAAATAGCATTCAGACTACACAGCAAAGCAACAATAGGCAATCCCAAAATGCACTTCACAATATAAACTGGTAATCTGAATTCAATAATACACCGACTATAAATTCATTAACCAACATCTTCCTCTTAAAAACTCTAAGCATCTACAGCACACACTGTCCTCTCATCACCAAACATATAACTATCAGAACTATAAACACAGCCTGCTCTGTTTATATTCCTAAACATGGTGAACATCACTCACTCTACACAGTCTATTGTGCTATTTACATGTACAAAACCTTATTCCTAAATGCTAATCCTGATCTGAAACTCTTCTTTGATGAAAAAGAAGCCATGAACACTACACCAGAAGTAAATCTCTCTTTGATATCCATAGAGTCAGACTTAATCTGTGCAAACACTCCATACAAATATAATTATCTAGTCTATGGAACTCACTCCCTAATGAATTAAAAAATTGTCCAACCTATGTTTTATTCAAAAGTAAAACCAAAAAATATCTAATTTCATCCTCAGTTTTCTACCTTGTGCTACCAACTCACCCAATTCTTGTACATAAGACATGCAACTTCACTGGTATATTCAATAGTATCAATTTATATTGTAGTTATTATGTTGAACTCAAATTCTGCTAGAATGTACCTGTTGTTGTGTTTACTTTTATCAGTTAAATTAATCACCTGCGAGAAATGCTATGCATGTTAGTGGCCTTGCAAGAATGTAAGAACACAAATGTTATGTACTGGGTATTCTCACAAACCCAATGTACCTTCTTGTATATAAATAAATAAGTAAATAAAAACCTACACCTACTCTAGACACCGACACCAACTCCAGATATCCACACCCATTCTAAACACCAACACCCACTCCAGACACCCACTTTCAACACCCACACAAAGAACTATAGTAAACATATTCATAAGAACAACAAAATACTCCGGACACAACCAGTTATTTGTTCGGTCTCAGTACATATAAAATGTTTGCACATGTTGATACCCAGTGGTAGTTACAGGTAGTGCTAGGCTCATGGTACAACCCCGCCCTCTTACAAATTACGTCGCTTTTCACTCGTATGCACACTCGGTCTAAAAAAGGAGGTACAGTAATTGAAAATGAAATCGGCTCACGAACGTGACGTACTGTCCCGATTTCTGTTTTGAGTCCTCTGGCTTAAGCTATTAGATGAGAACACTTTCAATAAACAGTTTTCATGACATTTTGAAGCAACCTTAGGAGAACTTCCTGCCCTCCTAGCCTACCAGAGGACCCTTAAGTTGCTGTTTTGGAAAAAAAAAACAAAAAATTACTGTATTTTAAACTATTTTTCATTTTCAAATTACCAGTACTGCATTTTTCAGTCATAGCGCATACGAGCAAAAAGCTACGTAATTTGTAAGAGGACGTGTTGCATGGTGGCCCATTATAAATTGTAAAGTTTCAAATATAGCTTTGTTTTAGCATACACTTCCTCCTTCTGCAGCTTATAATATAGCTGTGGAAGGAGGTAGCCTTCCACTATAATATAGGTAAATAATAATTCTGTTATTTCTGTACAGTAGTTTACAATTATGACACATCTAGTTCCACTTATTTGTCTTAAAAGTCTTTCTTTTCTCAATCCTTATAGAAACTTTATCATATCCTTTTACTTGTTTGCATACAATTTAAACATGTTTAGAGCATTTATTATTTTCCCTGTAGCTCTTATTTCTTACTTCTAGCACCCAGTCTGTTGCATACTTCAAACTTTTTTCTATTTAATACATTTCTTTAGTTGCAAGCATCATTCCATGATGCAATGTATGTAATTACCTAAGTATAGTTACAGGAACAGCGCTACATTCATGATGTCCCGTCTTCCCTGTGTTGTATGACTCTTGGAAACTACATCCACTTCTTTTCTATTAAATTGTTCCCACTTCCCATAATTTTCCCCTCAAAAGAGAACTTTGACATTTTTTCATTACCTTTTTTTTTATTTAGCTCAAGTTTGTGACCTCTTATTTTTTATGATGTGGGTTTAAAAATTTCCTTATTTGAAACTTCATAAATTCCTGCCATTTTGTATGTTGTGATCATGTCTCCAATTTATTAGCTTTTGGCATGTTTAATGTCTCCAGTTTTTCTTCATAACCATTGTTTTTTTAGGTCTGCAAATTTTTGGTATCTGACTTTGCACCATTTCAAATTTAATGTGCTGCTTGAAATATGGACACGACACAAAATGCTGTGCATATTGTATTCTAATTTTGGTCTCGCCGTAGCTCCTGAATGTCATGAACAATACCTCTAGTATTTCTCCATCGTTAAGTTCAAGTGCTTCTGAAATTTACAATTGTTGCATAGGCTTCTTTCACAAAGAAATATTCAGAACCACTCCCAGATCTCTCATTCAGAAGGCTTTAGCATCTTTTTCACATAATTTGAAGATTGAGTGTGGTTTGTCTTCCCTTATTCCATGCTGTATTTCATACTGTAGCACACTGTAACATGGCACTTATCTGCATTTAATTCCATCTATCATGTGTTGCCCTTTTCACATATTTTTTGCTAGGACTTGTATTCTTTCTAGTAGCTTAGCATCATCTGTGAACTAATTCATAAAACTGAATCCCATCTGGTAGATCACATATATATAGATAATGAACAGTACCAGCTATAAAGGCTTGCAGTACTCTGCTAGTGATGTTTCTCATTTTGGGTACATTCCTAATTTTTCATCTATATCAGCAGTCTGCCTGTCATCCCTCCCGTGTTCTTCGCTTCCAGAATAACTTCTTGTGTGGGATTCTATCAAATACTTTTTATTAGGTTCAGATAGATACTGTCAACTCTTTCCTGTAAGATTTCTGTGACAATCATAAAAACTAAGTAAATTAATTACACAGAACCTTCCAGTTTGAAAGTCATACTGCCTGTCTGTTATTATGTCATATATTTCTATGAGTATTCTACCTATTTGGTTGGTTTCAATTACTTTCTTTAATGATTTAACTACCACACTTGTCAATGATATAGGTCTATAGTTTAAAGCTAACTGGTGGGTTAGAAACCACTCATTTAGTCTTCTGTTACCATTTTTGAAGACTGGACCCATGTTTCCCCTTTTCCATATGTCCATGCTTGAAAAATAACTTGCAGTGGAATACTTAGCTCAAGTGCACATTCTTTTAGACCCCAAGGTGAAACTACACCTGGCCCAACTGCCAAACTCTTTGAACAGTTTCTCTACCTTGTCTCATAGGTCATGCTCTATTGAAGTTCAGTGTGTGTGAATGGTTCTCTAAAACAAAACCTTGTTTTGTATAAACACACTTTGAACTGTTCATTTAGGGTTTCAACCAATTGATTTTAGTCTCTCGGAATCTGTTTCCATTTCTTAATCTCTGGATTTTAACTTTTCCATGCAGTTTGCTTACGAATTTATAGGCTAGTTTTACAGTACTGCTATTCTCAAAAAGCTTCACAGACCAGGCAATCATCAGGGAAGGCTGGCCATAGGCCAGGCTTGCGGGAGAATAAGAATTCAAAATCGTTAATAGGTAATCTCTTCTCACTGCTGTGTAGTTTTGTACAAGTTTGTAGTGCTGGTATGCATGTGGATTAGATCTTTCTATATTCCAATTTTTTAGGTTTTGTTATCTCTGGCCCCTCACTGTGTGTTTGTGTGTGTGTGTGTTTTATCGCTGTTAAAAATAATACCCTTCAATATTGCTAATATGTGGCAATTTCATATTCAGAACTTTATTGGTAACTCTTAGTTTTTTGTTTATAAATTGTTAGTTACCGCTTGAACAAGTGCACAGTTCAGTTGTTGAGGAATCAGAAGATATATATATATTTTTTTGTGGGGGATGAGGAAGGTCACTCTCTCAAAGTTTCTCCTAAAGCTACATTACATTATAATATTATAAGATGTATGGTGTGTATGAATAATTGAGTTTTCAGTTCCATTGCATATGTGTATATGTACGAGGGGACTTTATAACTTAAGCCAGAAGGCAGTTGTAATAGTGGTGGTGGCGGCAGTGGGTGAGGTCCATCTGTTATGGAGCACTGTCATCTCAGTGCCTGGATGTGGTTGGCAGAGCAACTCATCCTAAGGTATAGATGGCACTGCCTCCCAGGCCAGGCGTTTGGTGGCACTGCAACCGACACCCTGAAATAAAACACAAGCACTGTTTAAGAGCATGGGTTATTGCAGAAATGAAACTCATGACATATATACAAGTATACATTCTGCCATTTTCAAGAATGTGATGGGTTTCAGAACAATGCATATCCAGTTATATCTTAAATTACTATACTTTGTACCTGGATGGTGTTGGTAGTTGTTCAAAAATTCTGGAAAAGCAATACTGTATCTAGGAAAAACCTAAGTTATACGAAAGCCTTATTCAGATTTCTTTGTGAATGAACCGAAGTGAAAAATATCTTACAACTGTACATTGCTTTACAGCCATATTAGCACATCCTGATAATTACTTGCATATTAGTTATAATTTATGATTAATTTGAAGTTGGAAGATGGACAATTTAAGACTTGCATCACATTTATTTAAATTATTAATGAGGATATGCTTAATGTGTGGATTCGTAAGTTGGTTTGCTTGAACAATAAGTCATATTATGTTTGTATTGCAAAACAATGTCTGTTATTAATTTGTGATAGAAGAAACAAATTATAATTATTCTTTAAAAAACTTAGACATTTTACGAGAGACATTTTACGAGAAAAGAAAATCCATGGATTACTAAACATGTAATGTTACATCTCCAGTTAAATGTGAACTAATTCATTGGCCAGGTAATGTGATATTGTGCCTCATTGTGGCTGGTATAGTAACTTTGTAACAATTCTGCCATCTCCATCCAGGCTTTAACGAGGCAAAATTTGATAGATGTGCACAATAGAACCCATGCTCCGTTAGTTACACAATCTGTTCCTGCGTGTGGGCTGTAATGCACCAGGTGCCTGAAATAGGTGAATAATGTGTGAATCAATACGGTATGTGATGTGGGTGGCAGTGTAGTCTAACTTCGGTGTAGGTTTGTTCTGCCAATGCCTTACACCCAGAAGAATGTAGTAATCTTGCCAAGACTAATGCTCCATGGAACACCTATGATCCAAAGTATTATTAATGTTTCTTATAAGTGGTTATATTGTCTTTCTATAAGACATTCGAATGTTGACAGTGTGAATGAAACTGTTTGGTTCCCTGCGCTCGCCCCCGCCAGGGATGATCCGCCCACCCAGCTTTAGTATGTCTCCTGTAGCCACCTTACATGGTCACTGGCGATCTACATCAGTCTACAGGCCCATTACAGTGTTGGTACTTGCCAGCAAAGTAAAGGGAAGTGTGGTGGGCAAGTGATGGTGGTTGTAGTGGAATAACAGTCAGACTGAAGAGTAGAATGCTTGTTTGCTGGCAAATCTTGCCCTGCTGTTGTCACCTGTCACCAGTGGCAAGTATTTATGCAGGTGAGCTAGCTGCTTGCTTCACTACTGATGTTCTGATTATTTCCATTTCACAGCTACTACCACCCTAAAAGGTCATCATCACTGGAGTGCCACAAGCAGCAGGGCAGCGTGGCAGCGGGGGCGGCGCGGCCCTGCCCTTGCTCACTAGCGCAGTGGAGGCATGCTAGGCTACTCACTGCCACAGTGGAAGTGTGTACCGTGGCATGCTTACCAAACCTGATAGTACTGATACTGCGCCCTGTTTAAAGGCTACATTACCCACAGTTTGTAACCTGTTACTGAATAAACATTGTATGTTCTTCTTTCATAGAATATTTGTTTATCTTACATTCCTCAAATTTTTCATTCACTTATAAACCCAGCGTTGAATGTAATGTAACATCAATTTCTGGAGAAGCCCAGGTGGTTTAAGTCCCCCATCACCTGCCGGAATGCATCTTTCCCACCACACAGCCTTGCACAACTTTTGCCTGCCACACGCACCCCATACCCCCTCCGCCAGCTCCCATCCCCTTTTTTTGGGGCAGGGGGAAGGTAAGAGAAAAGAAAATGGAGAGGCACAGGTAAAGGGAAAGTTTGGAAATGGGAATCAGAGTATGAGTTACATAGCAAGCAGGCTGTCTGCCTTTCCCCACCATTCTCATTAAGTCTGCGGACGGTGTAGGCTACTCTGTTGCTTTTCCTGACATCACCTATATGTGTCGCCTGCCTCCAGAGACTAGCATCTTCGTGGCAGAACTTTATGCTATTCTCTATGCTCTTCGTCAACTGCTTTCTCGCTGTCAATCCTCCTTTGTGGTTGTTGACTCTCACAGTGCCCTCATGGCTCTGGAGTCCTTTAATCCAGTCCATCCGGTAGTAGTCGAGATTCAACAGTGGCCGTTCTACTGGGTTCCCAGCCATAGTGGTGTCTTTAAATGAGCATGCGAACACTGCCGTTAAGGAAGCTAACCGCCCTTGTCCCATCTCCCATAAAGGAATTTCTTATTCCGACTTTTACCCAGTTATTCATTCCTCCATTCTTGCTCGATGGCAAGGTTGTTGGTCTTCTGTTACTGGTAACAAACTGTGTGCTCTTAAGAGTAGGGTGTCCCAATGCCCTTCCTCCTACCACCGTAACCGACGGTGGGAAACGGCTCTGGCGAGGTTGCGTATTGACCATACACACTGAACTCACGGGCACTTAGGGGAGTGCCGCCCTGCTCCTTATTGTCCAAACTGCATTGTCCCTCTTGCGGTCATGCATATCCTTGTTGAATGTCCTGACTTCCAGGACACTCGTGTGCCTCGCTTTCCGACTGTCCCTCGATAGAATTCTTGGTGAATCGGATACTTTTGATATCTTTCGCTTTATGCGTTTCTGTTCTCATATTGGCATCCTTAGTGATATTTAGCGCCCTATGATTATTCTGCACATTTGATGGTGCTAAATACCCTTCCTGGCTTGGTACTTTTGTTAATTACTTCCTCATCCCAGACCTGGCTGCCACCTCATAGCCCAACCTTTCACTCTTCCACAACCACCTCTAATTGCCTGTCCTCCACCACCCCACCCCCATCAACCGCCCACATTAAGGGCTCCCCAAACACACCCGCCTGGCCCATCCCCACACCCACTAGGCTAACAAATGCACTTACTATTTCCATGTCATGATCTTTCATACTTAACTTTAATAAAAACTAATAAGCATTCTTTGCCGTCCAAGTGGCAAAGTTACTAGCTAGTTACTTACTAGTTACTAGCCAGACCCAGCAGTGTTTATATAAACATATGCACAGCTTCCACTGTTCATTATTACATAGTGTACTATAGAAGAAGCCTTTTTTTTAATTACTCAAATGAAGACAGAATATATTGAACATGGTTTCGGTAATGAAGGGGAAAATGGTGAAGTGTTCCACTAAACATTATGTAATATTATATATATATAATATATATAATATACACATACAGTACATACATACACATTGTATATTGTGCTTTATGATAATTAAATACAGTGTGTACTGAAAATGGTTTCAGCAATAAAAATTGTAAAGAGTAATTTAGACCAAGGGAGGGAAGATGGTGAAGGAGAGGGAAGATGGTGAGGGAGAGGGAAGACGGTGAGGGAGAGGGAAGACGGTGAGGGAAGACAGTGAAGGAGAGGGAAGACGGTGAAGGAGAGGGAAGACGGTGAAGGAGAGGGAAGACGGTGAGGGAGAGGGAAGACGGTGAGGGAGAGGGAAGACGGTGAGGGAGAGGGAAGACGGTGAGGGAGAGGGAAGACGGTGAGGGAGAGGGAAGACGGTGAGGGAGAGGGAAGACGGCGAGGGAGAGGGAAGACGGCGAGGGAGAGGGAAGACGGTGAGGGAGAGGGAAGACGGTGAGGGAGAGGGAAGACGGTGAAGGAGAGGGAAGACGGTGAAGGAGAGGGAAGACGGTGAGGGAGAGGGAAGACGGTGAGGGAGAGGGAAGACGGTGAGGGAGAGGGAAGATGGTGAGGGAGAGGGAAGACGGTGAAGGAGAGGGAAGACGGTGAAGGAGAGGGAAGACAGTGAGGGAGAGGGAAGACAGTGAAGGAGAGGGAAGACGGTGAAGGAGAGGGAAGACGGTGAGGGAGAGGGAAGACGGTGAGGGAGAGGGAAGATGGTGAGGGAGAGGGAAGATGGTGAGGGAGAGGGAAGACGGTGAAGGAGAGGGAAGACAGTGAAGGAGAGGGAATGTAATGATGTTGATGGTTATACTGGTATTGGAAATATACAAACAAGATAATTAAACTATTGCAGTGCTTTTTACTTCATTTAAACTCTTGCAAAAAATATATTCATGCATCTATAATTTGAAAACATGAATCGTAAATTGCTATGGAATCTATAAATCAATTTCAGGACCAAAGAGCCAGAGCTCAACCCCCGCAAGCACAACTAGGCGAGTACTACAGTTAATGTAGTAATGTTGAATATGTAACTTAATAATCCAGAGAAAATGTAAAAGGTTTTTGCAAAGGTAAACAAAATTGTTTATATCAGCATGATGCAGTTAACATAAAGAGTACTGTACTGTATATACAATAAAAACCAATTTAAATTATTTCTAGTACATTCTATAACAAAAAATATATTATTACAGTACCACTATTCATAACCTATAATGTCTTATAGGTTATAATGAAACATCTTACAGGTTTGTAATTCATACCTGAAAGCAACCAGATATTGCAAAATGTAATACAAAATGTTAAATGTAAACATTCATACCTGAAGTATAACCTGGAGTGGGTTCTGGGAGTTCTTCAAAGCATGGCCTGGCTAATCTTATGATTACTCGATCTAGAAGGCTGTTGCTTGAGGCAGTCTGCAGGACCTCATATCCAATTAAATTCTCCATACCCCTCCATAGGTGAGTTTTCTATCCAAGTTCATACTCCGGTGTGAATGTAAAACAGCGTTCTTTCTGCCTTCCTTCCCTAATCATCCTGGGACATAGATCAGATGTCCAACCATTACTTTAGCAATTTGCTTCTCTGAATCTGAAACATAAAATATAAATTATCTATTAGTGAATTATCAAAAATTAAATACTGTATTTGTTTCCAGCCACCACTTGGAAGCCATGAAAAACCATGTCATATTTTTTTTGTTTAAAGAATTTCGAAGCCTTGGCAAAACCGCCCCGAGCCTCTGCAAACCACACCAAGCCTCAGCGAACCGCTCAAAGCCTCATCGAACTGCCCTGAGCCTCGGTGAACTGCCCCAAGCCTCTGTGATCCAACCTGAGCCTCTGCAAACCGCCCCGAGACTCACTGAATTGCCCGAGCCTCGGGGAGGAGGATCCAGGGGAAGTTTTCCTGGACAGTAAGGCAAACAGATTAGAGGCAAAGGGCCACCATTATCCAGAGGTAAACTAGAGACCATCCAGGCCCCAAGGGGCTTCAACTAGAGACCAGGCCCCATGGAGCTTCAATATCACCATAAGAACAGCTCAACCATGGTAGGATAAGTTCTCCTAGTTTGCAAACCTGAATTTTCCTGAGAGCCACTAACGTTGAAACCCACTACTTTCCCCCAATAGGGTTTGGATTAACAGCTTCCTCCCTAGGTAAACACTTCGATGATGTTAGTGCCTTGATTGAAACTATTGGCAACAAATTCTCTTTTATTATACTTACTGAAACATGGTTGAAAGAGGATACTACTCAACTCTTTAACATGCCTAACTACTCAGCAATTCACAACTGTCGTCAACTTCAGAGAGGTGGTGGCACTGCTCTTTACTACCACCAAGAACTAACATGCTTAAAAGAAATTAGAACTAGAGACTGCTATGGGGAGTATATCTTCGCCAGCTTCAGAGTCAAGGGTGCCGAGTCTGTCCTGTCTGTGGGTGCAGTCTATAGAATTCCCAACCCTGATGTGTCTGGATTCAACTCAAACCTTAGAAATCTAATACTTGATAACAGACTGAACAAAAACCACCTAATTATCGCAGGGGACTTTAATATTGACCTCTGCGAGCCAGAACACCCTACTGCTGTTAGCTTCCTCAACTGTATGAATTCCTGCCTCCTCATACCCTTAATCACTAGACCTACTAGAATCACTGATAGCACTGCCACGACTCTAGATCACATCTGGACCAACATAACCTCTCCGCTTACTTCAGGTATTATCACCGATAGCACTACAGACCACTACCCCACATTTCTCTTAACTAACATTAGCAAACCACCTCTAGAAACAAGGGAGTTAAGCTTTAGGCTGCACAATGAAACTGCTATAAACAATTTTATAACTGCTGCTGATAATGTCAACTGGGAGTCCGAGTTAGGTAACATAGGGGACATCAACCTAGCAGTGCAATCCTTTCTACAAACAACTCTTAGCCTTTATAACACCCACTGTCCTAGGCTTACAAAACAAGTCACAAACAAAAGGCTTAACAATCCTTGGCTTACAAAGGGAATACTGAAATCCATTAACAAAAAACACGACCTTGAGAAGAAGTATAGGTTAGGAATTGTCTCCAAAGAATTCTCAAAGAATTACTCATTATTGCTATCTAAGATAATTAGACGAGCCAAAACTAATTACTACGAAGATAAATTTACTCAAATAAAGAGCAACATTAAACAAACTTGGAGCACAATTTCACAAATATTGGGATCAAAGAAATCTTTAAATAACAAACCGACTCTCCTGTCTAATAACGATGGTCAGCTTTCAGCCTCTGATTCTGCTATTGAGTTTAATAGGTTCTTCTCTTCCATTGGTTCATCCCTTGCAAATGATATTCCATCTTCCAGTACTGACATTAAGGACTATCTTTCAGGTAACTATCCACAGTCTCTGTACCTAAAGCCTATTAACTCCACTGACGTCAATGAGATAATCCTTTCCCTTAAAACCAAGTCTGGTGCCCTTGAGGAGATACCAACTTTAATTTACAAAAAAGCCTCCAGATCTTTAGCCCCTGCTATTGCTTTGCTCTTCAACAAGTCACTTGAACTCCAAACCTTTCCAGATATTCTAAAAAAAGCGAGAGTAACGCCTGTCCACAAATGTGGTGACCCCACAGATGTTAACAACTACAGACCTATATCAATCCTGCCAAACTTGTCAAAAAATTTTGAAAAACTTATATACAAGCAGCTTTACTCATATCTAGCCAAACTCAATATACTTAGCCCTTGCCAATATGGCTTCAGACCCAAAAAAAGCACTAACGATGCACTTATTAGTATGCTTAACTCGATTCATACAGCTCTTGATAAAAAGGAGTTCCCTGTTGGGTTATTTGTGGACCTGCGTAAAGCTTTTGATACTGTCAACCACCATAACCTTCTTCTTAAATTACATCATTATGGAGTCAGAGGACACTCCCTACAATACCTCGAGTCCTACCTTACTGACAGGCTCCAATATGTTTCTGTGAATAATACAATTTCTCCCACCCTACCCATCAACATTGGTGTTCCTCAGGGCAGCATACTTGGCCCTCTCCTCTTTCTCATCTACATTAATGACCTTCCAAATGCCTCCCAACACCTCAAACCAATTCTATTTGCTGACGACACAACCTTCATTTACTCCAGTCCTGACCCTCTTGCTCTAAATGCCACAGTAAATACTGAGCTAAATAAAGTCCATCTTTGGCTAACTGCCAACAAACTCACCCTTAACATTGACAAAACCTTCTATATTCTGTTTGGCAATAAATCCTCTAGTCTTATAAATCTCAAAATAAACAATACCCAAATTTGTAACAAATTAGATGGCAAATTCCTTGGCATTCTCATTGACCACAAGCTGAATTTCCAGGGACACATTCTAAATATATCAAAAAAAGTTTCAAAAACTGTGGGCATTCTTTCTAAGATCAGATATTATGTTCCACGCCCTGCCCTGGTGACTCTCTATTACTCCCTTATCTATCCTTATCTCAACTATGGTATTTGTGCTTGGGGTTCTACTACCCAAAATCACTTACGTCCTCTATTTACCCAACACAAAGCCGCTATTAGAACAATATCCAACTCTGGCCCCAGACATCACTCGGTACCCCTACTCAAATCTCTTAATATGTTAGATATTAAGTCACTGCACATTCTCTCATGTGTATTATACATATATAAAACGCTAAACTATAATGCCAATCCTGATCTTAAAAGCTTCATAGAAGGTTGTAACAGAACCCATGAGCACCACACCAGAAATAAATACAGTTTTGATATTCCTAGAGTACGTCTTAATCAAACTAGAAATGCTCTGCAAATCAAGGGGCCCAGAATGTGGAATGACCTTCCCAACCATGTTAAAGACTGTACCTCTCTCAACCAGTTTAAGATAAAAACTAAACACTACCTAATAAATTCCCTGTAATCTACCTCACTCCTCTATTGTCAACCCATGTCTGTTATTTTCTTTTTTTTTTTTAATCAACACTGTTTGTCAACCTATTGTATTTGTGCTGCTTTTTCAGTCATGTTCCCCCTTTTTTTTATCTTTATTTGTATTTGTTCTCAACATCTTTTATTCTTTATGCTCAATTAGTATTAAGTTCTAGATATTAATGTTTTCTTGCCCGAAACGCATTGCGTAATAGTGGCTTTAGGCATTGTATGTACTAGCTCTATCTATATATAAATCCATTAATGTAACATCACTTGTATGTATATACCTTACCTGAATAAACATCTGAATCTGAATCTGAATAAACTAGAGGTGTGCGTACCACGTCCCACGATGACGCTGGAGCCGGTAACTAAAATCCTGTCAAGAGTAAACCAACCCATCCCCGAGGCTGACCCCACGTCATCGACATATACAGAGGATGACATCCAACCTAACACAGCTACCATTGCTGTATACAAATTGTTGTTTAAACTGATGGTGGACAACCTCTTAAGTAACTCCTTAGCGACTTACTCAAGACACTCCCCAGGCTGACTAGCCACAAACCCCAACCACAGGCACTATGAGTAAGATATATTCCCAGCTGTCCAAACCTCCCACCGGACTAAAAAAGAAAAAGACCAGCTACTTTGACTTGACGGTAGAGCGACGGTCTCGCTTCATGCAGGTCGGCGTTCAATCCCCGACCGTCCACAAGTAGTGGGGCACCATTCCTTACCCTCCGTCCCATCCCAAATCCTTATCCTGACCCCTTCCATGTGCCATATAGTCGTAATGGCTTGGCGCTATACCCTGATAATTAAAATTAAATTATTTAAATTTACCTGAGGGTCACGAGTGACTTCGATGAGGACAGGTAAGCCGGCGGGTTGTCAATGGTCCCCCCATTTGCCCTGATAATCTTTTCCAGCTGTATTTCAAAATCCAACAGAGTTTTGGCGTTTACGGCTTCGGCGGGTAGGCGGTTCCATGGGTTTATAATCTCGTGGGTGAAAAAGGCGTCTCCTGTTTTTGGTCCACCATTGTGGCTTCTTAAGCTTGAACCCTTTACTCCTCATTTGTGTTGGATATCCAATGGATAGAATTCTGGTTGAATCAGGATATTCGGTATCCACTGGAGAGAGTCCTGCCTGAATCAATATGTTGGACGTCCACTGGAGAGAGTCCTGCCTGAAACAGGATGTTGCATGTCCACTGGAGAGAGCCCTGCCAGAATCAGGATATTGGATATCCACTGTAGAAAGTCCTGGTTGAATCAGGATGTTGCATGTCCACTGGAGAGAGCCCTGCCAGAATCAGGATATTGGATATCCACTGTAGAAAGTCCTGGTTGAATCAGGATGTTGGATATCCACTGGAGAGAGTCCTGCCAGAATCCGGATGTTTAATGTCCAATGGAAAGAATCCTGCCTGAATCATGATGCCAGATGTCCACTGGAGAAAGTCCTGCCTGAATCATGATGTCCACTATGAGGAATTTGCCCTAATTATTTTAAAATCGCCACCTCGGCGAAATCGTCATTTTTCGCAAAACTCAAAATCAAAACTAGCCATAGAATCGTTTTCAAAATGCTACTATTAGAATTACCGCACCTCTGGACGTTTCTTTCTGTTAACTCTTTCTTTGCTAATTTGCAATATTAAGGCTTTTACACATATATTTACCGAGATACAGCCAATTCAAATATCAAACATATCATCATGTTTTCTCAACATATTATTTAGAAAAATGAGTTAATGAGCAAGTAATAATAATTATAATGAGCCTGATAATAATTGGATATTAAAAAATTATGAATTTCTTTCTTCATCATTTATGTAGATACTTTTTTATATCTTCAAGCCTATAACAGCCTACAATCACTGTGTAGAAAATTTCTGTCTACAATGTCATCAGGATGTTGGATATCCACTAGAGTGAGTCCTGCCTCAACCAGGATGTTGGATATCCACTAGAGTGAGTCCTGCCTCAACCAGGATGTTGGATATCCACTAGAGTGAGTCCTGCCTCAACCAGGATGTTGGATATCCACTAGAGTGAGTCCTGCATGAACCAGGATGTTGGATATCCACTGGAGAGTGTCCTGCCTGATTCAGGATGTTCAATATCCACTGAAGAAAGTCCTGGTTGAATCAGGATGTTGGATATCCACTGGAGAAAGTCCTGCCTGTATCAGGATGTTGGATATCCACTGGAGAGAGTCCTGCCAGAATCAGGATGTTGAATCTCCACTGGAGAGAGTCCTGCCAGTATCCGGATGTTTAATGTCCAATGGAAAGAATCCTGCCTGAATCATGATGCCAGATGTCCACTGGAGAAAGTCCTGCCTGAATCATGATGTCCAGGTGTTTACTGGTTCGGTAACAGGATTGTGGATTTGTAGAACCATTTACCGCGTAAAGTGGAGGTGGGGTCCGTTAATTGTTTAAAGCGTGGGCTGAACAATACGCTATGCGTATTAGTGGCTTTAGGTATTGTATGCACTAGCTCTATAAATCCAACATTATGTTTGTAACACATCATCTATGTATGTACTTTTCCCGAATAAAAATTTTAATTTTGAATTTGACATGTATGTGGGTGGGATATTGCGTGGTTATAAATAGGAGATGCCTCGTATGGGCCATAATAGGCTTTCTGCAGCTATCTTTAGTCATATGTTCTTATGTATTAGGTGATAGGAAACGTGCCGAAGCTGTACATGCCAAAACTGTTAAATATTAAAATCCAGCTTGAAAAACTCATCACGGTAAATAGGAACAGCCTCGTATAGGCCAATAGGCCTTCTGCAGTTACCTTAATTCTTATGTTCTTATATAACAATGATGTTATATAAGAATATAAGGTTCAGGTTCATGATACAGGTTCAGGAGCTTGTACACCAATTGATGGACAGCTGAGGGGCGGGACCAAATATCAAAATCAAAAATCAAAATCAGAATCAAAATGTTTATTCAGGTAAAGTACATACATACAAGGTGAGATACAAACATTGATGGATTTATTGATAGAGCTAGTATATACAAAGCCTAAAGCCACTATTACGCAAAGCGTTTCGGCCAGAAATAGTCGAAGCTCAGCCCCGTAAGCACAACTAGGTGAGTCCATTGGCATGACCATTAGGGTGTGCGCCATCTATATTTTGACAGCAGCACTACACATTAACCCCGCGTTATTCTATATCCAATACATGAGTGTTATGGTCAGTTGCTAGTCTATATATGTTTCTGGACAAAGTAAGTGATGTTAGGCTTGTTGCGGGCCAAGATCGGTAGTAACTGTTTGACTTGTGTTGGAAGAGGATGTGTCGGCCAGTGTGGTAGACTAGCGGGTAAGTAGCGAGTCTTGTAGCTTTTTAAAGCGCGTCTTTGTAATTCATTTGTGCTAATAACCAATTTTAGGCTGTTTAGTTAGGTTTTGTTTGAGATTTATTTAATGGGTGTCGCTAGTAATATAAAGGGGGGGAGGGAAATTGTGTGGATAAAAGTAAATTACCTGTGTAAGCTACATACGGTTTGAAGACTCTTAATCTGATTGTTTTGAGCTTTTAAAAAGCCTCTTCAGCAGAGGCCGGCCCTTTAATTACGCCTAACGTGTGGCTGGAGTTTTTAAGTGTACTTCTCGGTTAAGGACAAAGACAAAAGGTCGTGTATCGAATAGATTAGGGAAATTGAAATTGAAATAAGTTTATTGAGGTAAAATACACAAAGGGATGAGGTAGCTCAAGCTATTCTCACCCCGTTCAGTACATCGTGTTAATACATACATAGACACACATCACAAACAATAAACGTGTTACCAAACATTCTGAGATAAAAATGTACATTTCCTCCTTCACAAGTGGTATGGTATCAGACGTGCACAAATACTTTTATGACCTAGTTATACGGATAATTCAACAAAATATTAGTCTTGGTGCGAAATTCTTATCTCTCAAGAATATCATCCTTTCCTTTGTGACACATCCAGGCTATTTGCTCAGGAACAGTCCTTATCTGTTTCTATATACATTAATCGACGGACAATAAAGAACATAATGGGCAAGGGTGTGAGACCTTAACATACCACATAGTTTACACTTCGTGTCATTATCATGAACGCCTATCCCATATTCCCAGTAATATTTGTACCCAAGCCTGAGCCGCATGTACAGTCACTCCAAGCATTTCTCCATTTACCATAAGTGAAATGGGTGTTTTGACTCGCATACGTGTAGTGTTGCATGGTTAGACTTCTCTCGTACATTATCCCTCTCCTCTCCACTCCTGCCTGTGCCTGAATATTTCTGATTTTGCTTCTTATTTGTCTCGTTGTGAATTCACATTCAATGTCAATTTGTAGTTTTGATGTAGCACGTTTGGCCAAGTCATCCGCCACCTCGTTGAGCACTATTCCAACATGAGATGGGATCCACATGAATTTCACTGACCTTTCAGCTGTATCTCGGTTATTGTTCTCTTACAATCCTCAACTATAGACATGAAGACTGGGTTTAGACTGTTTAAGGACTCCAGTGCTCCTCGGCTATCTACAAATGCAAACATTTTTGTCGTCATGACGTACTTCCTCCAAACACGCCAGAATGGCCTGCAGTTCAGCTTGTGTGGATGATATATAATTACTAAGCCTGAGTTCAATTATCCTGTCCAGTCCCAAACTCCGTATATTCCCTTAATAGTTGTAGTACAGACAAACGTTCAAATTGCTCTTCTTGATGTAACCCCCAAGCTGTAGGCTGCTGTTATTTTAAGAGGTAATCTTATTTTACTTATGGAAAACTGGCCACTGTAATGATTAATCTCTACTCGATATACAGGCTCAATAGTCTCTGTAGTAAATATACTCTATTGACAATGAAGTACACAAGTCTTAGGTGATCCATTGGCTGAGGAAAATCAAAGTTCATTGAAATAAATTTATTGAGGTAAAATCCCACAAGGGATGAGGTAGCCAAGGCAGTTCATAACTTGTCCTTATTGGTAGTTCAGTAATTTTTTAGCTAGCATGTTGCATAATAAAAATTAAATGGTTAAAATGTTCATTGCACACACCATAATGGCCGTCAGATGTTAAATGTCAGACTAAGGGGTGAGATTAGTGGTAAATGTGACATTGATCAGTGCAATGTTACTAGATTCTTGAAACTTTCCCTTGCATGGTCAAATTTATTATGTAATCATTTTAATTTGTATTTATTGGTTTGGTGTGCAAATGTTATTGCAAGTTTCATAAACATTTCTAATGCGACTTGTTATACTGAGCACTTTATGAATATTAAAGTACCAAAGTTCATAATTTGTAAGCTTAATAGTAACAAAGTATACTAAAATGTGTTAATATTTTCTCTTGACAGGTGGAGACGCATTATCTGAAATGGCTGTTGCAATGTATTGAAATTAAATTTTATTAAACTCTGGGTTAGTTGAAGTCTATTATTGTAAATAGTGATGAATTGTGGTATTTTAGTTGTTTCTCTAATTTTATTGAAACGAGCTTTTTCAGTGTTTTGGAATGTTTAATAAGGTTCTTGGCACCATCTGTGTCTTGACTACAAATTTACTTGTTACTAGATTATAAATATATTGGTGTTCTGGGCAGTTTACCTTGTTTGAGCAAAAAGGTGATGCAAGGCAGTTTTTTCCCAACTTGGCTGTAGTTGTTAAAGCCAAACGTAACTTAACGTAGGTTGCAAGTTCGTAGTGTGGTGCATGGGATTGAAGGAATAATCACCGCTCCACATTGATAAGATAGATTCCTGTTGCATTGAAGTCGGCAAGTTGAATAAATGTTTTGGAAAATATTGTAGTTATAATATTGTACAACATTGTGTTAATTAGAATAATGATCATAACTTTGTGAAAGGGTGGTTATTATATTGGTTTTCAATTTTATAATTACTTTATTATAGCAAATGTTTGTATTTGAAGGTAGTTAAAATCTAATTTATATATTATCTGTTGGTAATATAGTCGCCAACATCAAACTTAAAGTATAAAAGGCATTATAGTAAGTCTTTACCAAAGTTCATGTATATTAGGATACTTAATGTAGGTGTACATAAGCTAAAAGTTGAAAAAATGTTAATAGAACACAATTGTATAGATTATCATTGCCCATACTGTAGATAGTGATAAGTTTTCTACTAAATGAGGTCCCCCCTTCCCTTTCTGGCCGTCGTTGTCGTGACGTAGAGTAGAGGGGGGGGGGAGGGGGGGATAAACGCACAACTCGGATTAGTTTCACTTCACATCTGCAAGGTGACACTTTCATAATTTCGCATTCAATGATCTTGTAATATCGACACATTGGTTTTTAAAAACAAACCTCACTTTTGATAGTATCACCTTTTGATAGTATCACCTTTTGATAGTAAGACCCTTCAGCCACCTATCATTCTTGCTGGTGCCAGCTGGTGCCCTGTTAAAGAGTACATCCCCCCCCCCCCTCTCTCACTCATTGTAATAAGTGAGGCAAGTTCGAGCACGGTGCCCTCAAATGCACAAGTCTTCGTTTCTCTCTGCCCCATGTGTGGGGACGATAGCCGCTCTAAGACGATTGCTCATATCCCCCGGGCTCGCTACCTGAATTGCGGCGAGGCCCACCCTACATTCTCTCACGTGTATCGACTCAAAGCTTGAAGTAGTCCTTAACTTGAAACACCAGGATCATTTGACTTTTCCCGAGGCAAGACACGGTTTGCAGTGTCCACCCCCTTCACTGGCTTATCTTATGCTCGCACGTTGTTCTACCTCTCGTCCTTCCCACCTTTGTCCCACAACCATTTCTAGGCCTTGGACCCGAACATGCCCACCACCTTCCCTGTTCCTTTACGTCCTGGGTCGGAAGGTGTATCTCGTGAATCTCCTTCTGGATTCCCCCCCCTCTCTTTTTCCTACCCTGTCTGCCAAGTCATTTCGTTTTCCCTGATCCTTCCTGTCCCTCCCCACTACCTCTTGGCCCTCCACGTTGCCTGTCTGTCCAGGCTGATGTCCATCATCCTCCCAGCAATCTTGATGTTGTTCACTCCCATTCTTCACTTAAAGACCCTAGTCAGTCGGCCAGTACGCTGTTACTGGAACACCTGTCCGTCAGAAACGTAAGCCTGGCTCCTCTCCATCCTCCTCCCCCTGCGGGTAAGGAAAGACAGCATTCCTTTCTTCCTCGCCCCCTAACTATTGCTTACTCCCCATTTTATTGGTTGGGGCCCCCTGTCCCTAATGTGGAAGTTTCTTTTGGCCCAATTCCCTCTTGGTTGCTGACCTAGAGTTTCTACCCCGTATCCTCCTGGCCTTGACAGCCCCCTCTCCCTGAACCCTGTCAATCTGCCTCTAGTGTCCTGCTCTTTTTGTTTTTCCCTCCATTCTTACTAAGTTAACCCATGGCCCGCTAAACCTTATTCTGATCTTTAGCTTTTTTAATATGCTGTGTTATTTACATTTGTTTCTTTGTTCTGTTGCTGTCCTTTTATTTTTTTTATGTCAATTCTTCAATGGAATATTCATGGGTTTTATGCTAACTCCCATGAACTCTTGGTTTTGTTTAGGTTTCACCACTTTGTCTCTGGGAGCCGATGCTTGGTGCTCGTCGTGATAACTGTCGTGGTTATTCCTTTCTTCCCCTTCCCCTCCCCCCCCCCCTTGATCTTGCTGGGGCCCATAACTATATTGGTCTCTTGATTCGTACTGATAATCTGTCCTACTGTTTCCATGTCCTATCCATTATTTTGCTGGCCATGTTTTTGAGTAAAATGTAGTCTGCTAAATTTTTCCCCAAAATGTCCCTCTTTCCCTTCCTGATGTCAGGAACCTCCTGGACTCCTTAACAGAGCTGGTGTTCCTGTTGGGTTATTTAAACTGTCGACATACCCTTTGGGGTGATGTTGACACACCCGAGGCGGCCTTCTCGAACCATTCGTTCTCTTCCCTGAATTCTGGTGAGCCCACCCCATGTGGACTGTGACTCTCACTTTCCTGTCTTGATCTTTCTCTGATCGTCTCTGTACTTGGATATCTCCTGGAGGGTTCATAACCTCCATAAGTGACCATTTCACCATCCTTGTTTTCCCTTGTCTTTTCACCCTCCCCTCTCCTTCCCTAGGTGGCAGTTTGCCAAAGCTGATTAACATAAGAACATAAGAACATAAGAACAAAGGTAACTGCAGAAGGCCTATTGGCCCATACGAGGCAGCTCCTATTCTATAACCACCCAATCCCACTCATATACTTGTCCAACCCGTGCTTGAAACAATCGAGGGACCCCACCTCCACAATGTTACGCGGCAATTGGTTCCACAAATCAACAACCCTGTTACTGAACCAGTATTTACCCAAGTCTTTCCTAAATCTAAACTTATCCAATTTATATCCATTGTTTCGTGTTCTGTCCTGTGTTGATACTTTTAGTACCCTATTAATATCCCCCCGGTTATGTCCATTCATCCACTTGTAAACCTCTATCATGTCACCCCTAACTCTTCGCCTTTCCAGTGAATGCAACTTAAGCTTTGTTAATCTTTCTTCATATGAAAGATTTCTAATTTGGGGAACCGATTAGAACCTATTCACCCTCCGTGCTACTGTGACCTCTCCTTACCTCTTCCTTGCACCCTCGTTTTCATTAGTCTTGGATGCTACCCTCTATTCCTTGCTCTACCTCCCAGGGCACACGGAAGTGCGTTCCCTGGACTGCGGATTGCTAGGGTTGTCGGCTGTAAGTGTGCAGCCTGGAAAAGACTGACGCTGGCAGATGGCTGATTCTTATATTTTTTTCAGAAAGTGCAGTGGCCTGTTGGACCACCTGGACAGAGGCGCGAGAGTTGGAAGTGTTTCCACCATTACGTCAGATACTCCTCTGCCGCAGATTTGGAAGATTTCAATATTGTGGGCAAGCTCATTCCCTATGACTAGCAGGTTCTTCACCTCTGTGGTACTCTGGTGGTGGAGCCAGTGCAGGTCACAACCGAACTGGGTTCTCACTTGTTAGCTGTGGTTCTAATCTTCAATTTTTCCTTAAACACGTTCTTGAATCTCGTGCCTTAAACTTCCACACTCGGGGGTACTACATAGCCTTCCCGGTTTGGTGGGTTTTATAAATTTTTACTAAATGAGGTTTAAGTTTTTTTTTTTTTTTTTTTTTTTAGATATATACAAGTTATTACATTCTTGTACAGCCACTAGTACACGTAGCGTTTCGGGCAAGTCCTTAATCCTATGGTCCCTGGAATACGATCCCCTGCCGCGAAGAATCGTTTTTTCATCAAAGTACACATTTTACTGTTGTGTTAAACAGAGGCTACAGTTAAGGAATTGCGCCCAGTAAATCCTCCCCGGCCAGGATACGAACCCATGACATAGCGCTCGCGGAACGCCAGGCGAGTGTCTTACCACTACACCACGGAGACTGCAATTCTTTAGTTCTAGAACTCTAGAAGTTCTTTAAAAGTGGCAACAAATGGCAAATACATTTAGATGTGTGTACAGTTTGCTTATCTATTTAAAATTAAATCCCATTTGATCCGCAAGCAAGAGTGATTTGGCATGAATCCTGGGCGAGTAACTGTATCATCTGTTTAACGGTGTAAAATTGGTACCTAGTTAAATTTTTAGTGTTCTGGGGTAACATGGAACAAAGTTATTGGCCTAAATGGTACGCATGATTGTGGCTGTACAAGAATGAAAGATCTGTCGTATTGTTTTTTTGACATAAATAGCAACAACTCTAGAGTTTGCTTGGCATGTTTAAAATACATGTTACCAAAGATATATGGGGGAGGGGGATCGTAAAGTATAAATTTGAAATACGAATGTTGTAGCATATAAACCTTAAATGTGGACTTCAAAGTGCTTTATCTTCTAATTTATAAATTAGATATGGTGGGGGGGGGGGGGGGAAGTAGATAATTTGTTAGTGTAACTTTAAAATTAAAAATTTTAAAGTTAATAAAAATGAAATTGCTATGCAAAACCTTATTAACCATATTTAATGTTCCATTGACAGGTTGTAGAAGGTCCTTCCAACATAACTTCAGGAACAGTTGCAGAACAATCGCTGGAAGTGTTAAATGCTACAGAAAGTAGCAGTTGTCAGAATTAGAGGGCCAAAGTAAGTTTGTTTAATAGGTAAAATGTGTTTAAATATTTAGGTAAAAATTATGTAATGAAATTGTGAAGGGGCCTTGAAATTGGGTAAATTGAAAGTAGTTTAAGGCCTTGACTAGTAGGTACTATATCCTAAAGTTAATTCTTGCAAGAATTGTGCTTTGAATAGAATAAATGGGACTTTAAATTTGTGAATGTAAAGTTGGGCACTAACTGTTAAACGGCATAAATTTGCAAGTTAAAGATTTTATGAAATGTTTTATTTAAATCTTAATTTGTTTGCTTAACTTCTGGTGTTAAGTTGGCTGCATGGTTCTTAATTATTTGGCTAGAAGTCATTCATTTATAAATTACACAAATCACAATGTGATATTTCTAATGCACAAGGGCTGTGATGAGGGGTTCAAACTTAAGTTGGAGTATCCCAAATGTGCTTTAAGACTGTGCCACAACATGGTAAAAGAATCCCAACTGGGAGGTCTACCGACATCATGGATTTAATCTACGTTTGTAGCTTAAAAGGCTATGTTCATAAATTAATCATTTAATGATGGTGTAGTACACAAATTAAATATTGACTGGTAACTGTACTTCAACTTAGTTTATTTATTTGAAGCTTAAATAGATATTGTCTTTCAGAATATTGATGGGAAAGTCGAACTTCAGCCCTGAGTTTGAAGGTGTTAATTGCTTGACATTCTGAATTAGGTGAGTGTGGTAGTAAACATAACTTTAACAATCACTCATTATGGCTGAAGATAATCTGAAATGATGCTTACATGTAGATAAAATAAATTGCTGACTTCAATGTACTTATGGTTAGTCAAACTAAGTTTAATGTTTTTGCTTGATTAGCATTAAAGGAGAATTCTAACAATCTTAATTGTAAGATTAAAGGAACCTGCATATGTAAAATCTTGTTTAACAAGCTAATTTGGGTAAATGTTTCAGGTGGTATGGAAGATTACAATGTCATCAAAGCATTGACTGGCTTCAGTGTGGTTGTTCTACTCTGCAAATCTACGAAAGTTGGTATGTGGAATTGAGTGTTTTAGCTATGTCAACTAATTAATTTACTTTCTTTCATCTAGTCCATTTATAGATGTGTACCAAAGTCCTACTGTTACAACCTGCAGGGATTGATGCAGTTTGTACTGATCCTACCCCATTTCATAGAAGGGGACCAGGCAGTCCTGCAGATTTCCCTGGCTTGGCTTTTTCAGGGCCCTGCTCTACTACCCATTGAATAGATGGACTAGAATTGCATAGGTGTAGGGACCCTTAACAATGGTTACATTGTTAATTCTCACAGGGCTTGTTTGCTGAATGCATCTAAAACTTTAGTGCCTGGCATGCATTGTGTTGATGGCACTAAAGTGGTGGATGTAATGCACCCATTCAGGGAACAAGCTCTGCAATAAAACCAGAGGAAGGGATAGGCCTTGCTGAGCCTATCTTAAAAGATAGGCTGTTAGGGGTTTTGGTGCTTCTAGATAGGTGTTAGTGTTAATAAAATGAGTGTCCCTGTTTGATATACTTTATTTTTGCTTTACAGGTGGATGTTGTCCTTGGTACTCTGGTTTTCCCTGGCCTTTTGATGATCTTTGAGTCTTCAGTGGATTGAATCTAGGAGAAGCAGCTTGCCACAACCTGAAATAGACAATAGTCAATATTAATGTTGCACTGTAAACTATTAAATAAATATTGCAATGAAACTATACTGTACTTTATCCTGAAATTAGCAAAGATTCTATCATGCTGGAAATTACTGATTATTCCTGATGCAAAGAACTTGTGAAATTTATAAATAACTTACTAAGAGTGAAAAATTGACATTACTAACTTCAGTTTTCTGCCAAACTGGATTAAGCTGATAAATCTAAACTAACATTACTAATTTGCAAAGTATCTTAATTTTACACTTGACTAAAATTAAACTTAATTGTATGGACTATATTTAAGGCTAAGCAACATCTAAACATTGAAAGATTAGTGGAAGTGTTGTAAAAAGAAATATGTTGACTTAAATGTCAAACTAAAACATCTATACAATATGGATTTTCACCAATACCTTACTAAATGCCAGACCTGGAACACTGTGGTTCCAGTAATCAGAAGTTAATTATAATGGGCTAGATATTAAAACTTGATAAAGTATGAAACTACCTATTGTCAAAAGTAAAATCCAACTCTGAAAGTTCTAGTATAAGAAAAACAATATTAGACATGATCAGTCTGCCTTATTATTTCCTGGACTTTGATATGTCCTACCAAATATTTTGACTGAAAATTTCATTATTCACACCAGACATCCCATAACCACAAATGTTTCAAGCTGATGAATAGAAGTAATTAAGGATAGTAGTGTATTATACACTACCTGTAAAAAGTACCATAAACTGGAAGAGCCTTACAAACTAAAATTTATAATTACCACATGCCTAGAATTTAATCTAAACTTAAATGAACTCTCAGCCAAAATTACTAAAGTTAAAAGATGTTCATAACAAGTTTATCTAGATTTCAAATATTGCTCAAATCTTCGAAATAACCAACCACAAAACTGTCAGATTAGTTTCACCTCGCATCTGCAAGGTGACAATCATTCAATGATCTTGTAATAACACATTGGTTTGTTAAAAACAAACCTGGTCACTTTTTTGTGGTAACCAGCTATTCAAACAAGACTTCTGGTACACATGTCACTTGCTTGCTAAAGCTGTTGATAAGGTACCATATGAAAGAATAGGAGGGGAAAAACAGGCACAGAATCAATGGTAACAGTCAAATTAAAGCGTCCTAAACAGAAATGACTGGAAAATTTTGCGAGATTCATACCACAAGGGTCTAAACCTTATAAATCGATGACATCAAACACCAAGATTTATAGAGTAAAAAAAAAACCAATGATATCGAGGCCTTACAAAGATCTACATGAACTCTAAAAATGGTTACAAGACTGACAAATTCTTCTTAATATACAAATAACATTGTTCTGGCTCACATGCAAGGTTTTACAATCCATATCACAACTACCACATTAACATTACAACGAAATAGAACGATGAAATAAGGACCTTCGAGTATGAATCCATCATTCACCAAAAGTTGATGCAGTGAAAGGTAAGGTAATTATCAAAAGAAGGCACCAAACCGAGAAGGCTACATAGCACCCTCAAACTGCGAAATAATCAGAGGGCGCTAAATATCACCAAGAATGCCAATACGAGAACAGAACGCATAAGGCGAACGATATCAAAAGTATCCGATTCACCAACAATTCTATCCAGGGACAAGTGACCGCGAGGGGCAGTCGGAAAGCAAGACACACGCACATCCTGGAAGTCAGGACATTCAACAAGGATATGCACAACTGTACGAGAGACAACGCAATTTGGACAATAAGGAGCAGGGTGGCGCTCCATTAAGTGACCATGAGTTCAGCGAGTATGGCCAATCAGCAACTTGCTAGAGCAGTTTCCCACCGACGGTTATGGTGGCAGGAGGAAGGACACAGGGACACACTACGTTTGAGAGTACGCAACTTGTTACCAACTACAGACGACAAACAACCCTGCCAATGGGCAAGGATGAAGGAATGAATAACAGGATAAAAGTCCGAGTAAGGAATACCTTTATGGGAGATGGGACAAGAACGGATAGCTTCCTTAGAGGCAGCATCCGCATGCTCATTTAAACAAACACCAATATGGCTGGGAACCAAGCAAAACTCTACCGATTTAAATGTACTAGAAATAAGAAACAGCCAATGTTGAATATCCATGACCACCGGATGGACAGGATTAAAGGACCCTACAGCCATGAGAGCACTATGAGAGTCAACTACAATCACAAAGGAGGATTGACAATGAGAAAGCAAGAGACGGAGAGCATAGAGAACAGCATAAACTTCTGCTGTGAAGACGCTAGCCTCCGAAACGAGGCGACACATATAAGTACGGTCAGGAAAAAAACAGTAGCCCACACCGTCCGCAGACTTAGACCCCTCGGTGAAGATGGAAACAGAGTGGGAGTGCGAAGAAAAGTGCTCAAGGAAAAGGCGTATCAGAACCCTAGGAGGGGTAAAAGCTTTAGTGATGCGGGTCAAGGAAGTACAAAACTTTGGAAGGGGTACTCTCCACGGAGGCAAGGAACAATACGAGGAGAAACATTAGAAATACGAACAGAAAGCGAGATAATCGGACAGAAAGAGGGAGGTGATGAAGATGAACAGGAACCACTGGAGGAGTCAAAGTTAAAGCACGACAGAGGTGAGAGGAAGGATGTTGTAAGGACCACGCAAGATAGCGAAGATAGTAGCGATCACGGCGGTCCTGGAGAGAGAGAAAGCCAGTGTCAACATACAAACTGAGGGCGGGAGTCGAACGAAAGGCACCAGAGCTGTGTGGGGAAACTCCAGGCAGCTAATCTCTTTATTTAAATTAACTTTAATAAGATAAAGTTATGTCTTATTTATTTTTCTAAGTAAGAATTAATTGAGTGGACTGTATATACTTGTAAACTGCCTGAAATCTTCTTACACACTAATGGGAGGGACAATTGGTAGCCTAAACCACTTTGTTATGGCTCCTTCTTAAACTACCAATTGTTTACTTTTTATTATTATAATACTGAAAGCGGCGGTGAGTCACATTTTGCCCACAGCCCCCAGCAGTTTGCAAAATATCCCAAACATCCCAATATCGAGGCCTGAGCCATATTTTGGAGCCAATTTCTGGCTCTCTGCACGTATTCGCAGTTTGAAATTACAACTTTTTTTACCGAACATATGCCAAGTGCTGAAAGCGGCGGTGAGTCACATTTTGCCCAAACCCCCCTGCAGTTTGCAAAATATCCCAAACATCCCAATATCGAGGCCTGAGCCATATTTTGGAGCCAATTTCTGGCTCTCTGCACGTATTCGCAGTTTGAAATTACAACTTTTTTTACCGAACATATGCCAAGTGCTGAAAGCGGCGGCGAGTCAAATTTTGCCGAAACCCCCCTGCAGTTTTCAAAATATCCCAAACATCCGAATTTCGAGGCCTGAGCCATATTTTGGAGCCAATTTCTGGCTCTCTGCACGTATTCGCAGTTTGAAATTACAACTTTTTGTACCGAACATATGCCAAGTGCTGAAAGCGGCGGCGAGTCACATTTTGCCCAAACCCCCCTGCAGTTTTCAAAATATCCCAAACATCCCAATTTCGAGGCTTGAGCCATATTTTGGGGCCAATTTCTGGCGTTCTGCACGTATTCGCAGTTTGAAATTACAACTTTTTTTACCGAACATATGCAAAGTGCTGAAAGCGGCGGTGAGTCACATTTTGCCTAAACCCCCCTGCAGTTTTCAAAATATCCCAAACATCCCACTTTTCGAGGCCTGAGCCATATTTTGGAGCCAATTTCTGGCTCTCTGCACGTATTCGCAGTTTGAAATTACAACTTTTTTTACCGAACATATGCCAAGTGCTGAAAGCGGCGGCGAGTCAAATTTTGCCGAAACCCCCCTGCAGTTTTCAAAATATCCCAAACATCCCAATTTCGAGGCCTGAGCCATATTTTGGAGCCAATTTCTGGCTCTCTGCACGTATTCGCAGTTTGAAATTACAACTTTTTTTACCGAACATATGCCAAGTGCTGAAAGCGGCGGTGAGTCACATTTTGCCCAAACCCCCCTGCAGTTTTCAAAATATCCAAAACATCCCAATTTCAAGGCCTGAGCCATATTTTGGAGCCAATTTCTGGCGTTCTGCACGTATTCGCAGTTTGAAATTACAACTTTTTTTACCGAACATATGCAAAGTGCTGAAAGCGGCGGTGAGTCACATTTTGCCTAAACCCCCCTGCAGTTTTCAAAATATCCCAAACATCCCAATTTCGAGGCCTGAGCCATATTTTGGAGCCAATTTCTGGCTCTCTGCACGTATTCGCAGTTTGAAATTACAACTTTTTTTACCGAACATATGCCAAGTGCTGAAAGCGGCGGTGAATCACATTTTGCCCAAACCCCCTGCAGTTTTCAAAATATCCCAAACATCCCAATATCGAGGCCTGAGCCATATTTTGGAGCCAATTTCTGGCTCTCTGCACGTATTCGCAGTTTGAAATTACAACTTTTTGTACCGAACATATGCCAAGTGCTGAAAGCGGCGGCGAGTCACATTTTGCCCAAACCCCCCTGCAGTTTTCAAAATATCCCAAACATCCCAATTTCGAGGCTTGAGCCATATTTTGGGGCCAATTTCTGGCGTTCTGCACGTATTCGCAGTTTGAAATTACAACTTTTTTTACCGAACATATGCCAAGTGGTTAAAGCGGCGGTGAGTCACATTTTGCCCAAACCCCCCTGCAGTTTTCAAAATATCCCAAACATCCCAATTTCGAGGCCTGAGCCATATTTTGGAGCCAATTTCTGGCTCTCTGCACGTATTCGCAGTTTGAAATTACAACTTTTTTTACCGAACATATGCCAAGTGCTGAAAGCGGCGGTAAGTCACATTTTGCCCAAACCCCCCTGCAGTTTTCAAAATATCCAAAACATCCCAATTTCAAGGCCTGAGCCATATTTTGGAGCCAATTTCTGGCGTTCTGCACGTATTCGCAGTTTGAAATTACAACTTTTTTTACCGAACATATGCAAAGTGCTGAAAGCGGCGGTGAGTCACATTTTGCCTAAACCCCCCTGCAGTTTTCAAAATATCCCAAACATCCCACTTTTCGAGGCCTGAGCCATATTTTGGAGCCAATTTCTGCCTCTCTGCACGTATTCGCAGTTTGAAATTACAACTTTTTTTACCGAACATATGCCAAGTGCTGAAAGCGGCGGCGAGTCACATTTTGCCCAAACCCCCCTGCAGTTTTCAAAATATCCAAAACATCCCAATTTTGAGGCCTGAGCCATATTTTGGAGCCAATTTCTGGCTCTCTGCACGTATTTGCAGTTTGAAATTACAACTTTTTTTACCAAACATATGCCAAGTGCTGAAAGCGGCGGTGAGTCACATTTTGCACAAACCCCCCTGCAGTTTTCAAAATATCCCAAACATCCCAATTTCGAGGCCTGAGCCATATTTTGGAGCCAATTTCTGGCTCCCTGCACGTATTCGCAGTTTGAAATTACAACTTTTTTTACCGAACATATGCCAAGTGCTGAAAGCGGCGGTGAGTCACATTTTGCCCAAACCCCCCTGCAGTTTTCAAAATATCCCAAACATCCCAATTTCGAGGCCTGAGCCATATTTTGGAGCCAATTTCTGGCTCTCTGCACGTATTCGCAGTTTGAAATTACAAATTTTTTTACCGAACATATGCCAAGTGCTGAAAGCGGCGGTGAGTCACATTTTGCCCAAACCCCCCTGCAGTTTTCAAAATATCCCAAACATCCCAATTTCGAGGGCTGAGCCATATTTTGGAGCCAATTTCTGGCTCTCTGCACGTATTCGCAGTTTGAAATTACAACTTTTTTTACCGAACATATGCCAAGTGCTGAAAGCGGTGGTGAGTCACATTTTGCCCAAACCCCCCTGCAGTTTTCAAAATATCCCAAACATCCCAATTTCGAGGCCTGAGCCATATTTTGGAGCCAATTTCTGGCGTTCTGCACGTATTCGCAGTTTGAAATTACAACTTTTTTTACCGAACATATGCCAAGTGCTGAAAGCGGCGGTTAGTCACATTTTGCCCAAACTCCCTGCAGTTTTCAAAATATCCCAAACATCCCACTTTTCGAGGCCTGAGCCATATTTTGGAGCCAATTTCTGGCTCTCTGCACGTATTCGCAGTTTGAAATTACAACTTTTTTTACCGAACATATGCAAAGTGCTGAAAGCGGCAGTGAGTCACATTTTGCCTAAACCCCCCTGCAGTTTTCAAAATATCCCAAACATTCCAATTTCGAGGCCTGAGCCATATTTTGGAGCCAATTTCTGGCTCTCTGCACGTATTCGTAGTTTGAAATTACAACTTTTTTTACCGAACATATGCCAAGTGCTGAAAGCGGCGGTGAGTCACATTTTGCCTAAACCCCCTGCAGTTTTCAAAATATCCCAAACATCCCAATTTCGAGGCCTGAGCCATATTTTGGAGCCAATTTCTGGCTCTCTGCACGTATTCGCAGTTTGAAATTACAACTTTTTTACCGAACATATGCCAAGTGCTGAAAGCGGCGGTGAATCACATTTTGCCCAAACCCCCCTGCAGTTTTCAAAATATCCCAAACATCCCAATTTCGAGGCCTGAGCCATATTTTGGAGCCAATTTCTGGCTCTCTGCACGTATTCACAGTTTAAAATTACAACTTTTTTTACCGAACATATGCCAAGTGCTGAAAGCGGCGGTGAGTCACATTTTGCCCAAACCCCCCTGCAGTTTTCAAAATATCCCAAACATCCCAATTTCGAGGCTAATTTTCCCAATCCCAATTTAGGGATCCCAATCTAATCCCAATTTAGGGATATTCCTGCATGGGCCCTAAGTTTCTGGCTAATGAACCAATGACATGAAGGAGGAGTTTTCAACCTACCTTGTGTTAGGTGTGCAGAGGTCAATGGTTGAACATAATGTCAGGAGCAAAGGGGGGCGTTTGCCTCTTCAAACACAATTGTGACCATCTTCATCTCTTCGAACTATCCTAAATGCTCTCTTCACCTGTCTGACCAAATTGGGTGTCCAGACCACCTTTGAATCTGAAATTGTAAAATTAATAGCAATTTCAGAATATTCAGTCCATTTATACTAACAAAATTATATACAGTATACTGTAATTGAAATTTTACAGAATGATAAAGGCAATTTAGCAACTTTGTTAAAATGCACATGGGGGAAATACATGAAAATAGGTTAATATGGTTTGTAAGGTTGATGGGAAATGTTTATTACTTTTATGATTTAAAAGATGTATAGCCCTGATACTCCATCCTGGGTGCATTCCACCAGGTAATGACCACAGCAAAAGTTTTCCACGAGGCTCTATTGTCACATAAACTTTTCACATTTTCAAACTTGATTCATCTTTCCCCCCCCCCCTCGTTCCAGGGGTTTTCTTTAAAAGGTCTTCATGCAAATGCCTTGGTTTCTCACAAATGATGGCCTCTGAAATGCTATCACCTGCTAACTCCTTGTTGTGTATCCAAATTAATAAAAACTTTTCAACATCCTCAAGTGTTTGTGTTCTTTGTTTCGGGATTGTTGATATGCCTTTTGCCACTTTAACGCTCATAATGTCCTTTTTCTTAGCAAGTATAGTGCATATTGTTGACATAGATTTGTTGTACTGCCTAGCTAGTTCAACAATCTGTGCACCGTTTTGACGTTTATGAATGCTCTCTTGTTTTTCCTCTATGGTCATTCTCACATGTGTTTTCTTGGCTTGAACCTTATCACTGGCTTTCTTGGGACTCATGGCAAGATATATAATAACAAATTTTATGTTCAAATAGCCAAAAATCCCAAAACAAATGTAATGCTTTATAAAGAATTCAGGCACGATAGTTACTAGGCAGGAGACACTGGTAAACTGAGGTGCGATCACCATGCCACCACGCGCTAGGTCAGCCCATACGCATATCAACAAACTCATTTCTCGAGGCAAAGTTTGTAACCCGATTCAAATTTTTCGAAGAAATTAGGCTCGTAACCCGAAAAGTTCATAAATATTCATTCGTAAGCCGAGGTGACACTATACATGTATATAAGTAAAAAATTAAAATTTTGTAGATACACTGTGCTGTATTGATGGATACATTCCACAACAAGTGTTTAATTGTGAGGAGACATAGCTCTTCTGGAAAAAATTGCCGAAGAGGACATACATTACCCAAGAGGAGACGTCACTGCCCGGACACAAGCTAACTTGGGCTAACTTGTGTCAGGATAGGCTAACTCTTGTGCTGTGTGGCGATTTGAAAATTAAACCCTTGCTCGTGTATCATTCCGAAAATCCAAGAGTTTTAAAAAATATATAAGGTGCAGAAAAACTGTGATGTGGAGTGGTTTGCCCTGCCATCAAAAAATATCTGCAAGAGAAAAGTTTGACACTCAAGGTCCTGCTTCTCGACAATGCTCCTGCTCATCCTCCAGACTTGGAGGATGCATTGTTGGGGCCACTTTTTTTTTTTTTAGGGATATTCCTACATGAGCCCTGACTTTCTGGCTAATGTACCAATGACATGAAGGAGGAGTTTTCAACCTACCTTGTGTTAGGTGTGCAGAGGTCAATGGTTGAACATAATGTCAGGAGCAAAGGGGGGCGTTTGCCTCTTCGAACACAATTGCGACCATCTTCATCTCTTCGAACTATCCTAAATGCTCTCTTCACCTGTCTGACCAAATTGGGTGTCCAGACCACCTTTGAATCTGAAATTGTAAAATTAATAGCAATTTCAGAATATTCAGTCCATTTATACTAACAAAATTATACATACAGTACTGTAATTGAAATTTTACAGAATGATAAAGGCAATTTAGCAACTTTGTTAAAATGCACATGGGGGAAATACATGAAAATAGGTTAATATTGTTTGTAAGGTTGATGGGAAATGTTTATTACTTTTATGATTTAAAAGATGTATAGCCCTAATACTCCATCCTGGGTGCATTCCACCAGGTAATGACCACAGCAAAAGTTTTCCACGAGGCTCTATTGTCACACAAACTTTTCACATTTTCAAACTTGATTCATCTTTCCCCCCCCCCCTCATTCCAGGGGTTTTCTTTAAAAGGTCTTCATGCAAATGCCTTGGTTTCTCACAAATGATGGCCTCTGAAATGCTATCACCTGCTAACTCCTTGTTGTGTATCCAAATTAATAAAAACTTTTTAACATCCTCAAGTGTTTGTGTTCTTTGTTTCGGGATTGTTGATATGCCTTTTGCCACTTTAATGTTCATAATGTCCTTTTTCTTAGCAAGTACAGTGCATATTGTCGACATAGATTTGTTGTACTGCCTAGCTAGTTCAACAACCTGTGCACCATTTTGATGTTTATGAATGCTCTCTTGTTTTTCCTCTATGGTCATTCTCACATGTGTTTTCTTGGCTTGAACCTTACCACTGGCTTTCTTGGGACTCATGGCAAGATATATCATAACAAATTTTATGTTCAAATAGCCAAAAATCCCAAAACAAATGTAATGCTTTACAAAGAATTCAGGCGCGATACTTACTAGGCAGGAGACACTGGTAAACTGAGGCACGATCACCATGCCACCACGCGCTAGGTCAGCCCATACGTATATCAACAAACTCGTTTCCCGAGGCAAAGTTTGTAACCCGATTCAAATTTTTCGAAGAAATTAGGCTCGTAACCCGAAAAGTTCATAAATATTCATTCGTAAGCCGAGGTGTCACTATATATAACTAAAAAATTAAACTCAGGATTACTTTCAACCCCCACCCCTTTTGCTCTACTCCATCGCCACCTACCTTCACCCCCCTCTATGATGTACTCTTCCATAGACACCTACCTTTGCCCCCCTCCTCCCCTCTACTCCTCCATCATCACCTACCTTCACACCCCCTCCCTTCTCATCCTCCATCGTCACCTTCCTTTCACCCTCCTCTATGATGTACTCTTCCATAGACACCTACGTTCACTGCATATAATGCTCCCCTCTACTCCTCCATCGTCACCTACTTTCACCCCCCCCCCCCCTCCGCTCTACTCCTCCAGGGTCGCAGACAATTTCACGAGCGTGAGAACTACGAGTTCTCTAACTACTCTCACACTCCTACTCTCTCACCAGTGAGGGGGAGGGAAGGAGGGAGGAAATGAAGGAAGAAAGGTGGGGGAGAGAGAATAGGCAGGGGGGAGGAGGGCCTAGATACATTTCTTCCATATAGATAGGTAGACTGAGGGAGAGCTGCTTGCCAAGAGCCCTATCAGACAGGCTTCCTATTCCTCAACCCTCCCTAATATGCCACATCCTGGTCAGGACAACTTGCTCGATTGTTATTCTTGGTGTGACTCGAGAACTGACCTCGAGGCGGGGCATGGGCATGGATTATCTCCCTGGGGCACGCACCTCCCTGCCCCAGCTCTCTCTCTCTCTCACATAATCTATCAAGGGTCTAACATGAGGTCATTGTGCCTACCAGAAGTGTATATGTCCAAGGCTGGCCACCTGTCTGGACCATTCAAATGTATAAACACGTAATTAGTCTATTAAAATTATATATAATGCTACAATTATAAATTAATTTGTTCGTGGTCATTCGTTTATCAGTATTTTAATATGAGGTATATATACCCATGTATGTATACGTTGACGTACACATATATGATTATGTGTATAGAATGATTATGATTATGTGTAATCATATATGATTATATCTAATGGAATGCATTAGTAAGTGATGTGGTGGAGGCTGACTCCATACACAGGTTCAAGTGTAGATATGATAGAGCCCAATAGGCTCAGAAACCTGTACACCTGTTGATTGACGGTTGAGAGGTGGAACTAAAGTGCCAGAGCTCAACCCCAGCAAGCACAATTAGGCGAGTATATGAACGAATGCACATGTACACTTTCAAATGAATTAAGATACCTTGAGATACACAATGACTTAGTTTAAATAGTTTAAACACATTATGGTACTGATTTTGACATGCTGATGTCTGGAAGGGAGAGGGGGTGTGGGGGGTTATTGTCTGAGGTGGAGGACCAGAGGAGGGGGTCAGTGGAAGGACGGTGGCTGGAGGGATGCCATTGTTCTAATGGTTATGAAAACAATTATTGATGGCAGGAATTCAGTGGGTGTGTACTTCACCCACACCATCACCATACTGTGCCCTGCTACAACCCCCCCCCCACTCCACCCATGCTATGCGGGGCGTATTACACATTATGGGATAACCGACTGTCTGTCCATTCCTGTCTGCTCGTTATGCTGCCCTTCCTTTTGAAAATTGTCTGCTTTATCGACTTCCTTCAAGACCACACGTTAGCCTCTTATCACGCCCTCTTACCACTCTCAGGGAGCCGGCTCTTCTATACAATAGTTACCACTCAGTCCCCAAGGTGAAAGAGTGTCCGGGCATATGACTTGTTACGTGTACTTATTTGTGATTCGTTTGGGCTGTCACGTGTGGTGATTAGTGTTGGGTAAGGCTAGGCCAGGTCAGGTCAGACTAGGCCAGGTCAGACTAGGCTAGGTAAGGCTAGGCCAGGTCAGACTAGGCTAGGTAAGGCTAGGCTAGGTAAGGCTAGGCCAGGTCAGGTCTGGTCAGGTCTGGCTAGGCCAGGCTAGGCAGGGTGAGAAAAGTAAAGCGGCAGGTACTTACGTTTCCGAGAAAGTAGCGGCGGTAGTATATTGTTGATTTAGATTCGATGACATCCTGAAGCTAGTAGGTGGCGGCCTCATCGCTCTCGAACTTGTTGTTGTTGTTGTAGGGGATACGAGGCACACCCAATATTCCCCTTACATTGATCACATCCCACACTAATATTTTTACTATTTCGGACACCAGATTTGTCTGTTTCGTATATGTATAATTGTTCAATATTAAAACCACAATAGAATGCTCTAAGTACTTTCGTATATTAATACATCTTCAGAAGGAATGGTTCGCTCTGAAGATGTATTAATATAAGAAAGTACTAAAGGAAATTCCTGTTTCAATTCTTCCTCCGTGGTCTGACACTCTTATTATATATTGTATATACTGAATTATATATACTATGCTTATATAATATATACTGAAATATTGTTACATTTAACGTATGAAACAAAGTATATATCTGTATTTTTAATAAAATATAAAACATTAATATTTATCAACGTATCTCTGTGAATTACATAATTTATCAGTATTGTACAGCCTGTGATCTCCACCTGGCTGGCCACTGATACCTAAGTAGCTTTCATGTGTCCGGACACCGGCGATAGGATTGTATTATTTAACTTTAAAGAGAGAGATATTTCTTGAAATGTTGTCACATTAACGTCTACATCTTCCTTCCTTCTGACATATAGATTTTAAGGTTAATTAGCATATATGGAAATAAATTGCACAATTTATAGGCTGGTGTGAAGGGCTTCACACTCTTAGAGCAAGCCATCAAGAAACTGTACAGTATCAAATGCATATATCTTCGCTTTCACTTCAGTTATATTTATGACAAGTATTTAAAGTGTAGCTTATATTTCTGCCTTTCTGTTGACATAGAAAACTTTCGTTTATTACATTATCTAGATAAAATTAGCATTGATCTTCAAAAGGTTGTAGTTGTAACTTCCATTATAAACAACATTATTATTGCAAACAGTAGGAGTTTCAAAGTCTCATTTGTATGGATACCTTCTCATATAGGTGTTGTCCAGCATGATGACACAAACAAGGCAGCTAAAACTGAATGTGATAAGCCTGAAGTTGAGTGGGATATGGGCATTCCAATCTCTTCTGTCAAAGCCGCAATATTTTAGGAAATTAGGGAAGACAGAAGAGCAGTCACTGACACACAAAAGCCAGAAAGCAAGAGTATAAAGAGCTATGACATGTTTATGTGCCTCTGTAACCTTTTCCACTACCGCCCACAAGATGATATATGGGGTGCATAATTAATGAACTAAACTAAGTAAACATGTTTAGAATCGAGAATTATATGAACGGACAGCATAAAACTTCCACTAGTGTCACAATGACAGTGTGACATTGTAATTGCCAGAATTAGGCTAGGATATCGATATGCTAGTGGCTTTACAAGACTGTAATTACCATATTTGTATCCTCACATTCCTTATGTACATTCTTGTATATGCATAAATAAATAAATAAATAAATGTATCGCAGGTGGCTGCAGGTAATGAATAGCCCCCAATGGTGAATATTCCAATTGTAAACTATGTGAACAAGAGCTGGGACATGCTCACCAACACTATATCTGTGATTGCCTTGTTATAAGTGACTTCAGACCAAATGGTATAAGGTACTTTGAACTCTGTAATTACTTCATACACTTAGGAATATTGGAAGATATTCTTATGCTGTACCCGGATTTTGCTAACGGAGGCTAATAGATCAGCCTTATATTTTATGTTCTCACCTGAATATTACCTTGAGGTAGGCCCGTAAGTGGTAGTCCTCTTGAACCATTAACAGTATCAATAGATGATACTGAAGATCTGTGGAGGTGCGACTGGACCCTGCGTGACGGGAGATGTATCCCTTGTTTCTTGTGATTGATTGATGAGGATTAAGCCACCCAAAAGGTAGCACGGGCATGAATAGCCCGTAAGTGGTGTTCTTGTTAGTCA